TCGGTTAAGCAACTGCCTTTGGCTCAGGTCATGATCTCAGGGCCCTGGGATCGAGTCTCACATCGGGCTCCCTGCTCAGCGGGGAGTCTGCTTCTCCCTCTCCCTCTCCCTCTGTGCTCTCTCTCGCTCGCTCTCTGTCTCTCAAATAAAGAGAACCTTTAAAAAAAAAATGGGTGGTTCGCATTTCCCACCTGCTTTAAAAAAAAAAAAAGAAAGATATAAAATGATCTTAGGGCACTGATGATAGTGTGAAGTTGGGCTTCCTGTTACATGAGAAAATACACCCCTATCACTTGGGTTTTCAGTTACATATAGCTGACCACAATCCTAACCAGTATTAGTATGCCGTTACTCTTCTTCAACATGTTAGTAAAAGTCCTAATGTATATGGCAAAGTAGGAAAAAAAAAAGAATAAGGATTTGAAAGGCAGAAACAGCCTACTCTCCAATGGTGCAGTAAAAAAGATTATATCAAAGGTAGCAAAATGTTAACAACTGGTGAATCTACAGGAGAGTATTCAGCCTTGAAATATTTCAAAATAAATATTTACGGCAAAAAATACTGATGAGCAAAACAATGAATTTTGTGACAACATATACCATAAACAAAGGGAAAAGACAAGCCAAGTTATCAGTAAAGGATCAGAAAAAGATTAGCTTCCAGAATACATGAAGAACTTTTACATATTTTACAAGTCAACAAGAAAGACAAGCAACCCAACAGAAAAACAAGCAGATGACAGGGACAATACATTCATGGAAAATGAAACCCATGATGCCCAATAAACAGATAAAAAGATACCCAGGGTACTAATCAAGAAAATGCAAATTAAAACAAAAAATACAGCACTTCACACCCATCATGTCGGCAAATTCCTTTAAGCTTGAGCACAGAGGTATTGACATAAGTAAAGTGACAGGAACTCTCAACCAGCAACAGAAGTTTGAACAGGTTCTACACTGTCAAGTACACGTTGACAACACCTAACAGTTAAAGAGACACACCATACTCAGCAATGCCCTTCTTAGTTATAATCCCTGAAGCAGCAGCAAGTCCGTGAGATCGAGACTCTACATAGCAACACTAGAACATCATTTGCCTTTTTCATCCTCACTCTCCCATGAGTGTTCAGTGAAGTTTTCCAGAGGCTCATGGTATACGTCACAGCCAGATAACTGCAGAAGCAGATACGAGAATCCAGCTCTCTTCTATTAATTCAGACATTAAAGAGATTTTCAAAAATGTAAAAGCAATGCCACTCTTCTCTATTTTTTTTTCTATTTTGGAAAGTGTAGTTATTGTTCATAAAAATGTTATTTATAACACATAGCGGGTTTATTATTGTGATTTTTTAAAAAAATAAGTATTTGAAGCATATCTCATACAATAAATATTGATAGTTATAAATCACATAAAAGGTCTTTGGGGTCCTCAGTCATATTTTCAGAGTGTAAAGAGGCCCTTAGACCAAAATGTTTGAGAACCACTGCCCTGGAGAAACTATCACACATGTATACCAGGAGACATATACAAGAATCTTCCCTGCAACACTGTAATAGCAAAGAACTATCCATCAGAAGGAAAAAATGATAGACTGTGTATAAAATAACTACATAGCCATTTAAAGAAATGAACTAGGGCGCCTGGATGGCTCAGTAAGTTAAGTGGTTAAGCGTCTGCCTGCCTTTGTCTGCCTGCCTTCCATTCAGGTCGTGATCCTGGGGTCTGGGTATCGAGTTCCACATCAGGCTCCCTGCTCTGCGGGAAGCCTGCTTCTCCCTCTTCCTCTGCCTCTCTCTCTGTCTCTCATGAATAAATAAATAAAATCTTTTTTTTTTAAGATTTTATTTATTTATTTGACAGAGAGAGACACAGAGAGAGAAGGAACACAAGTAGGGGGAGTGGGAGAGAGAGAAGAAGGCTTTCCGCAGAGCAGGGAGCCTGATGTGGGGCTCGATCCCAGGACCCTGGGATCATGACCTGAGCAAAAGGCAGATGCTTAACGACTGAGCCACCCAGGCACCCCTAAATAAATAAAATCTGTAAAAAATAATAAAAATAAAAAATAAAGAAGTGAACTAGCATTACCTATATCAAATGGCCAAATCTCACAAATTTAAAAAGTGCAATGCCTGGGTGGCTCAGATGGTTAAGAGTCTGCCTTCAGCTCAGGTCATGATCTCCAGGTCCTGGGATCGAGCCCCATGTCAGGCTCCCAGCTCAGCGGGGAGTCTTCTTCACCCTCTCTATCTGCCTCTCCCCGTTTATACTCTGTCTCAAATAAAAATCTTTAAACAAACAAACAAAAAAAATAGGGCGCCTGGGTGGCTCAGTTGTTAAGCATCTGCCTTCCGCTCAGGTCATGATCCCAGGGTCCTGGGATCAAGCCCCACATCGGGCTCCCTCCTCGGGGGGAAGCCTGCTTCTCCCTCTCCCACTCCTGCTGCTTGTGTTCCTGCTCTCGCTATCTCTGTCTCTGTCAAATAAATAAATAAAATCTTAAGGGCGCCTGGGTGGCTCAGTTGGTTAAGCGACTGCCTTCGGCTCAGGTCATGATCCTGGAGTCCCGGGATCGAGTCCCGCATCGGGCTCCCTGCTCAGCAGGGAGTCTGCTTCTCCCTCTGACCCTCCCCTCTCTCGTGTGCTCTCTCTCTCTCTCTCTCACTCTCTCAAATAAATGAATAAATAAAATCTTAAAAAAAAAAAATAAAATCTTAAAATAAATAAATAAATAAATAAAATAAAAGGCAAAATGCTGAAGGATATATACAATATACCATGCATCTAGTTTTAAAACATGTAAAATCATACTAGTATGTATGATTATTTAGTGATATATATACACACACAGAAAAAGTAAAAAATAAAAACACATGGGAATGATAAAAGCAAAAACTGGGGGTAGAGCATGCTACTCTTGGTCTTGGGGTCATGAGTTCAAGCCCCATATTAGGCACAGAGCTTACTTAAAAAAAAAAAAAAAAAGGCAAAAATCACTGCAGAGGTTACCCCTGCGGAGGTGGGAAGAGAAATAGCATGGAGGAAGGATACACAGGAGCCTTCAATTATATGTGGAATGTTAGCAGAAACACATGTATTCATTATATTATTTCCTATATTTTTTTGTATGATTGCAATACATCTTAAGTAAAGATTAAGAATGCTGAATAGATACTGGGTGTTAGGAGGGGGAAGACACCATAGGACCAAATGAAGGACTGCAAATTAAGGGTGACTTAGGTTTGATTTAGGTCTCAACTCTAGAAAACTGGAAGAATATCGATGCATTAGCTCAAATTTAGGAGGTCGGGATGAAGAAATAGTTTGGGGGAGCGCCTGGGTGACTCAGTCCTTAAGCGTCTGCCTTCGGCTCAGGTCATCCCAGGGTCCTGGGATCAAGCCCTGCATTGGGCTCCCTGCTCCGCGGGAAGCCTGCTTCTCCCTCTCCCACTCCCCCTGCTTGTGTTCCCTCTCACTATACCTCTCTCTGTCAAATAAATAAATAAAATCTTTAAAAAAAAATAGTTTGGGAAAAGGTAAGGCGGTGGGATTTAGACATGCTACCAGGAGAAGCAGTAATGATAAAATTCTTACAGAGTTGTAAATTTAAAGATGGTGTTTGGGAGCTGTCAGGGCCAGAGATACAGATTTGGAACTCACTGAATAAAGATGGAAGATTTGAGAATAGATGAGATCATCAACAAAGGTGATAAAGGAAGATGAGGGTATGGAGAAGCTTATCCAGAGAGAGCAGAGGAGAGAGCTTGGGTAACAGACACAGAAGGCCATGGTGGAGACCATAAAAGAGAGGCTAGAGGAAGATGGCAGTGAGTCCTCAGAAAGGTCAGAGAAGGAATCAGAGTCAGACAAGAGAACATTCGAAGAAAGAAGGTATAAAAAAATTCAAAGAGAATAAGGAATGTACTAGGTCACCAGATTATATTCATATAATTTCAGCGTGCCAATTTCAGGAAGCCAATATTGATTAATCCCGACCCTTTCTGACCACTCCTCTTTCATCCATTCATTCCAACAAAAGCTGATTGAGTATCTTGTATGTGGACACTAAGGATACAATGATCGTCTCTGTCTTCATGGTCCTAAGATCACAGTAGAAGAGAAAGACTAATCAATTACTAACAATGATGAATGTAAAATCACAGCTACAATGAATGCTATTAGTGGGAGTACATGGAACTTCGAGATTGTGTAATTAGGGAATTGTTAACTCCTTCCTCCTTTCAGCAGTGTATATTGTGCCTTCCTGAACAGACTGTAAGCCCAAGAGGGCATACTTTTTTTTTTTTTTAAAGATTTTATTTATTTATTTGACAGAGACAGCGAGAGAGGGAACACAAGCAGGGGGAGTGGGAGAGGGAGAAGCAGGCTTCCCGCGGAGCAGGGAGCCCGATGTGGGGCTCGATCCCAGGACCTGGAATCATGACCTGAGCCGAAGGCAGACGCTTAACAACTGAGCCACCCAGGCGCCCCGAGGGCATACTTTTTTATACTCTTATACTGTTGATTTTCTTTTGATATCTTCTCCAAGTGCTCAGCATAATGCTTCAAAATAATGGGTATTTAGTATATGCTTACTTACACATCTGTAATGGGATGCATCAGATTTTGCAATAAACACATCCTATTGTATGGAAGAGCTATGACTTTTTTTTTAATAACCTGCTACGGGTGTTAAAGAGGCCAAAAGCAAAGTGTAAGCTTTGAAAAGGTTAGCTTGGTGTTCTCTACCTGTATCTCAAGCAATTACCTTGAGACTGCTTAGGATTATTCTCAAAGAGGGAGCTAGTAAAATCATGGAAAGATTGACACAAAACATTCTCACCTCTAGAGACAACTCGAAATGTACACTCTACCAACAGTAAGCCAGTGCTATGCTATTTTTGCAAATAAAAAGCAAAACATTCATTATAAGGCAATTGGCCCTGACAAGAAAAACAGAGTTCAGTGGTATTCAAGAAGCAGCCCCACAACTACTTACATCACGAAACTGAACCTTTCCCAATTCTCCTAATTCACTGACGCAACAATAAGCAGCTTCTGACTGTAGAAAAAGCTGGGCCAACGTCATCTCCTCACTCCGGAAAAGCTCCCCCATGGTGGCAGAAAGTACCACTCAACAGAGTACCTGGATTTCTCTCCAACCTAAAGCAAAAAGAGAAAACTGCATTACCAAAAGAGCTAAGAGCAAACACCACAACAGTAAGGCTCTTTTGTTTTGCATTTCATATCTTCCATCCCATGCAGACAGATCTTTAACATTCTGTTTAGAAGGAGAGAAAGGAGAAATTGCAAAAGGCTGTTACTAAATCCCCTCCCACAGAGTACCTGATGAAAAGCCACTTCCTTCACAGTCAACATCAGGATCAAATGACAATATTTTGGGGCATCTCAATACATAAGAATGTATCCAGTTAAAAACAGAACTGGGATTCACAAACAGCTCTTTAAATACCCTGGACAGGGTATTATGAGGCAGTGACATTCACACTGCTTGACCTTTTTTTGGCTTGTGTCAGGAAACACACGGAAGAGACCTAGATTACCCTCTCATAAAGGATGTCTCCGTGGAGACTAGTTTTCTACCCGCTATTGCCCATTTCTAACTGTTGGAGTCCCAGCACTACGCTACAGCTATGGATACCTTAAAGGGTTTAACCTTCTAACTGCTCAGGAAACACCATTTTCTCCTTAAGGAATCTAAATGCATCAGCATTATCTCAAAAAAACGGGGGGGGGGGGGGGGGGGGGCGGGACACCTGGCTGGTTCAGTCAGTACAGCATGTGACTCTTGATCTCAGGGTCATGAGTTCAAGCCCCATGTTGGGTGTGGAGCCTACTTAAAAAAAAAAAAAAAAGAGCCAGCTTGCAAATTAAGCTCAATTTCAAGTCCAGCATGACAGGAATACATTGATAATGACAAAGCAGTTTTATCAAACCACAGAGAATAAGCTTGCCACCTCCATAGCTTTCAATTTCTTATCCCCACCTTCAAGATTAATTACATTCTTCCATCTGTCAAAGCTTCTCATGCATGAGCCAATAAAGGTTTCCTTTTAGGGCTGTCTTATCCTTGCCCGGTATGAAAGACAATGGCGCTATCAGTGGTCCTGAAACTGCAATTATTTATTCTCAATCAGCTATTGTAAGGCACAGACTGTACCCTATCTAAACTCAGCAAACCGTACAGTATTTTTAGTATCATGAGGGCATCCATAATGATAGGTGAAACTGGCATCAAAGGAAGAGTTACTGTTCTGCAAGGCTGGAAGACATCTTGAGAAATCTGAATGACAAAACCTTTGTGCAAGGCAGCAAAATAACACTCAGATATAAGCAAAGATTTCTCAAGAGATTATGTAGCCTGCCTTTAAAATTGTCTATACCTGAATCACCCAAAACAGCTGTTACCAACCTCCCACATCTTCCCCCAAACAAGAATAGATTCCACAACCTCTAAAGCAGGTAAAATTATGCCTGATCAGCACAGTTCAGGGGCTGCCAGTAATGACAGCCTCCAGAGTTGCCTCCCTCCTTCTGTTCTTTAATGATTACAAGTCTCCTAGAACATCTCTATCCCACTGGAGCCAAACAGAAAACTAAACAGGCCAAAGCGATTCAGGGATGAGAGGATGTCACAAAACAAAATATGAAGAAACAGTAATTCTACACAAGATGAGTACAAATAAAGCGCCCGGCGTCCAGCCTCACTATTGTCATCCAGTCCTCGCCTCCTACGAGGTATTCAAATTCACCTGCTTTATTTCCTGTCTACCCAGTGAGAAAGCAGGAATTCTCTGAGCCCAGGCACACCTACCTCCAGAAGTGGCGATTAAAGGGGGAGGGGGGAGGGATCATCAAATTGGGAGCCCCTTTAAGAAGCCCCCCAAATTCTTCTGCCTACCTAATAACCTTCTGTTCCTCCGCCTACGCCTTAAATGGGGGAAGGGTTGAGGGCCTCCAAAGAGGAGTGAATCTCCGATTCCTCTGCCCACAGGAGGGGTGCCCGAAGAGGGGCGAACCCCCATTTCCTCTCAGAGACCTAAGATCTCTGTTAATTCCTTTGACAAGTAGGCTATTAGAAGGATTTCCCATGCCCTTCCGAGGCCTCTCCCTGCCGCACTGTACCTACATGCCCCGCTCACCTTCAGCCCCCGACCGGGCCGCAACCAAAGCAGCAGCCCCAGACCAAGCCCGCAGCCTCAGCGGCTCGGGACATCAGCGCTCGACGTGCGTGCGTCCGCAAAGCCCTGCCCCCGCGCAGCCACCGGCTCCGCCCCCAAGATGACCTCATTGCAGTCAGCCAATGGGGTGAGGCCTGGGTCGGCTGCCGCACTGCAGAGTCGCGGGGGCGCGGGCAAGACCCTGAGTGCTGACGCCATCTTGTTCCCGCGGCTGCGGCTCCAGGCCGGTGGGACCGGGGTGTCTGACGGGCTGCTGGGCGGGTGCTTGAGGACCTCAGCCCGTATGCCCTTCCTAATCCCTTCTCCCTAACACCCTCGAGGCTGGGCTGCCTGCTTTCTTTCTTTTCATATCCAAAAAATTAATTCACAATTTTTTTTCCTCGAGGAAAGTAACATCAAGGAAGGGGAGACATTATGAAATGACCTGAAAGCTGGAGAGCTTATTAAAAGCGCTTACAGTCCAGTCTCCTCTACATTACACACGCACCCTTTTTCCTTATTTTACAGAAGAGAACATTTAAGCCCCTGAGTGAGGAACGCCTAAGATCCGTAGTAGAGCCTTGAACAGAGAGGGGCTCGTTCACTTAAGTGTGGAAAAGCCCTTTTTAGAAAGGTACTTGGTTAAGTCCCTCTGGCAAGGGTTCAGGGTCAATTTTTCTCCAATTAGTGGGAAAATCCCCATAAGACCCTATGTTGTGACAGTAAGTTTTATCTTGTTCGGTGGATTCCTGCAGGCCCATTTGACCCAAGGGTTTTCTATTCCTCAAAAATTTTTAAAGAATAACAAGTTTTTTAAAACGCAAAAGTGGGGCCCCTGGGTGGCTAACTCGATTAAGCCTTCAGCTAGGGTCTTGAGCCCAGGGCCTGGGGATAGAGCCCCATGTTGGGCTCCCTGCTCAGCAGGTAGCCTGCTTCTCCCTCTGCCTCTGCCCCTCCCCGTTTGTGTGCTCTCTCTCTCAAATAAAATCTAAAAAAAAAAAAAAAAAAAAAAAAAATGCTGATGTGGGAAAAAAAGGCAAAAGAAAAATTAAATTTCCGGGCGCCTGGGTGGCTCAGTTGGTTAAGCGACTGCCTTCGGCTCAGGTCATGATCCCAGGGTCCTGGGATCGAGTCCCACATCGGGCTCCCAGCTCAGTGGGGAGCCTGCCTCTCCCTCTGACCCTCTCCTCTCTCATGCTGTTTCTCTCTCGCCCGCTCTCCAATAAATAAATAAATAAAATCTTTAAAAAAAAAAAAAAGAAAAATTAAATTTCCTTACTATCTACAGCCCACTGACAAGTCCCTGAGACAGAGTGACATTCCTTTAGGAACTCAGCTGCCTCGATGTTAATACCTTGCTAAGGGCAAAAGGCAATCTTAGCCCCACCCCCAGGATCCTGTAAATCTACCTTAACATATAAAAATTCCTTTGGCAACCTCCTTTATCTCTACCCCCCAAGACACTTGTTGGCAATCATCCCCCAAGCATATGACCCACCAATACACATCTGAAGGGTCTCATGACTAAGGTTTTATTAGACAGTAATAAATGACCCTTTCCTAACAATAACTAGCCCCCTCAAATTCCTGGAAACTTCCTTCCAAATTCCTTAAAGACGTAACGCTATCCCTAACCCCCAACTTGAAAGGCCACTCCTCATGACCTAGTGCAGCTCTTTCTGCCCATAGGTCCTGTCCCTGTGCTTTAATAAAACCACCTTTTTGCACCAAAGATGTCTCAAGAATTCTTTCTTGGGCATCAGCTCCAAACACTAACATTTCCTACATCAGTGCTACCTACTATTTATAAAAACGCCTTTCTCAAATACTGGTATCAACTTCCTAAGGAGGAGTAAGGATCCCAAATCGTTTGTAGTAACCAGAGCTGTGTCAAGAAAAACTCGGAAAACTGGTCTTTCAGGCTCTGTGGGTGATGGAACCCTATTGAGATTCAGTGTAATGAGGGAGATACTTCAGATAAAAACCTGATGCTGATCATTTTGTCTACCTGGCAAAAATCATCATCAATGCTGCTTTACCAGTGTAAACGAAATAATGAAGGCAAAAATGGATGTTTTATTTAAATTTTCTATCTCCTATTGTGAGTAAAGATATAACTTGATCCCATTATGATTTAGTTGAGAAGCAGCACCTTGGAGAGGCCCAAATCCTCCCCTTTCCGGTGATCTTCAATGTCCCATAGCTGTCTCAACTTTCCTGGCAGGACAGATAGAGACCCACACTTGAAAGCCTGCCAAGTTTTAGAAAACTATTACGCAATGACGTCATTTCCTTCCTCTGAGATTAAAAAAAAAAAAAACAAACTTTTTTTTTTTAAACCTCAGAGTCAACTTGCTAACCACACATTTTTTGCACTCCACCTTTAAGACAGTCTTTCATCTGGACTCACCTCAATCCCTTTGAACTCTCTTTTTTCATGGTTTCCTTGCAAGTATATCCTCTCAAGAGTTCCTTTTCTGGCTCCTTTCATCTCCTGCCATCAATCTTTCTCCAGTGTTCCACTCCCTCCATGCTCTCTTCCTTGGCAGTCCTGCTTCTTGTCATGTGTAAATGTCTATGTGTGGGACTCACACCGATTTTTCCATCCACCTCCCTTCTCCAAGGCTTCCAGATGGAATTTCAAACAGCCTGAATAATGCCATTCAGGCAACAAATGCTTGCTGAGGGCCTAACGTGTGGCAAACATGGTGCTAGCTGCTCGGGATAGGAAAAATGAAATAGACACACTTCCTATCTTCGAGGAGCTCACAGTTCGGTGAGAAATAAAGTTCCAATAATTATAAGAGAGAGATATTCATACTTACTATGTGACAGGCACTTTTCTAAGTGCTCTATAAATATGAATTCATTTAATTCTCATAACAATACTAGGAGGCAGATACTAGTATTTTTCCCATTTCATAGATGATATGGTGTGGGGCACCTCACTGGCTCAGTCAGTAGAGCATGCGACTCTTTTTTTTTTTTTTTTTTTAGATTTTATTTATTTATTTGAGAGAGAGCACATGAGAGGGGGGAGGGTCAGAGGGAGAAGCAGACTCCCTGCCGAGCAGGGAGCCCGATGCGGGACTCGATCCAGGGACTTCAGGATCATGACCTGAGCCGAAGGCAGTCGCCTAACCAACTGAGCCACCCAGGTGCCCCGAGCATGCGACTCTTGATCTCAGGGTCGTGAGTTCAAGTCAAATGTTTGGTGTAGAGATTACTTAAATAAATAAATATTGGCACAATAATTTGCCCAAGGTTGCTCAGCTAGTAAATGGCAGAGCAGGATTCAAACCCAGGCAGGTTGGCCCCATTTCCTGGGCTCTTAAGTACTGCACTGCTCTACAGAGTCCTTTTGTTCCTCTGTTGCACTGTCTACAGAGTGCTGTCTCTGAGTCCAATCTGAGTTCAAGTCTTGATCTGCCATTTAATATAGATAACCTTAGGGGGCACCTGGGTGCCTCAGTCGTTAAGCGTCTGCCTTCGGCTTAGGTCATGATCCCAGGGTCCTGGGATCGAGCCCCACGTCGGGCTCCCTGCTCTGCGGGAAGCCTGCTTCTCCCTCTCCCACTCCCCCTGCTTGTGTTCCCTCTCTTGCTATGTCTCTCTCTGTCAAATAAATAAAATCTTAAAAAATATATATATAGATAGATAACCTTAGGACTCTCTAAGTCCCAGTTTCCTCCTCTATAAAATGAGGTTAATAATGATACTTACCTCATGTGGTTATTGTGAGGAATAAAAGGAACTTAGTACATGGTTGGCACTCAGTCTGCATTCAAAAACTGCTAATTATCATCATCATCATTACTGTTGCTGTTGATACACAAAATACCGTATAATGGACCTGAGAATCTCAGAAAAGTTTACATTGAGGAGGTGATATGAGAGCAGAGTTTTGTTTTTTCTTTAGATTGTACTTACTTGAGGGGCGCCTGGGTGGCTCAGTTGGTTAAGCGTCTGCCTTCAGCTCCAGGTCATGATCCCAGGATCCTGGAGTCCCAGAGTTGGGCTCCCTGCTCAGTGGGGAGCCTGCTTCTCCCTCTCCTCCCAGCTCATGCTCTCTCTCTCTCGATATGTCTCTCTCTCAAATAAATAAATAAAATAAAATCTTTTTTAAAAAAAGATTTTATTTGAGAGAGAGCGAGCACAGGTAGGGGGAGGGGCAAAGGGAGAAGGAGCAGCAGACTCCCCATGAGCAGGGAGCCCAACTTGGGACTCAATCCCAGGACTCCCAAGACCATGACTGATCCCAGGACCCCGAGACCATGACCAGAACCGAAGGCACACACTTAACCAACTGAGCCACCCAGGCGCCTGAGAGCAGAGTTTCAAAGGATTATGCTCTCACTGAATAAAAACCGGCCCTTCCTCTCAGATCATTAATCCTGCTAATGGCATATTGTTTTCCTGGTTACCCAGGTTCCAAGCTTAAGCCATCTCTAATTCCATTATTTCTCTTTCTCTCCACATTTAGTCAGTTGCCATGTCATGTTAATTGTGTGTCCTACATTTATTTCTTGCCTCTACCCACTTATCCTTTTTATTTTCATTGCTAATAACCTATACAGATCCATTAGCCTCTCTCAGATACTAAAGCAAGAACCAATGGGAAGCAGCATGGGGTAGTGTAGTAGACCACAGCAGACCACTGTAGTTGTACCATCCTGAACTAGGCTTGAATCTCAGTTCCTCCATTTATTCCATCTAATATCAAATGTAAGAGAAATCTCAGCTCTAACAATTACAAGGTATCTGAACTTGAGCAAGTTGTTTCACCTTCTTGAGCTTCATTTTCCTCATTGAGACTCTCATGGACTTGTCTCCATCTCCTTTAGAAAACACAGTACTGGGGCCCCTGGTGGTGCAGTTGGTTGAGCTTCTGACTCTTGGTTTTGGCTCAGGTCCTGATCTCAAGGTCATGAGATGGACCCCTGCGTTGGGCTCTGAGCTCAGTGAGGAGTCAGCTAAAGTTTCTCTCTCCCTCTTCCCCTGCACCTCCCCATGCTCACTCACTCTCGCTCTCAAATAAATAAATAAATCTTAAAAAAAAAAAGAAAAGAAAGAAAGAAAAAGAAAGCACAGTACTTTCTACCCGACTTT